GACTCAGCCTCCCTGTGTCAACATGTGGCGGGGATGCTCTGTACAGGGGAATGTGGCCAGGGACAGGCTCCAGCCCTACACCACACTGGGAGAACTCACTGAGCCGAAACCGTAGGAACCGGACAGCTGAAGGCCACCCAGCAAGCATTTCTGGACAGTCTGTGCCTGCGGATTAGCAGACACGATGTTTTTCCAAACCAAATACATTTTATTAGCTGTGGAGGGAGGGTGGGCTATCACAGGACAGCAGCACAGGGCCGCTGCCCGGCTCTCCTCCTCGCTGGGCACTTCTGGAACAGCTTTCTGGGGTTCCACAGAGGATGCCAAGGGCTATTCCACTCTTGTCCTCCTTAACCCAGTTTTGCTGAGAAAGAGGACTGCGTGTTGAGGCCGAGAAGGCCGCGGCCTTCTGCAAGAGGCAGCCTGAGAGTCAGGAGCGGGGCTGCCAGGGACAGGCAGGGCTTGTGCGTCAAGACAGATGTCCTGCAGAACTGCTGCGAGTGTGAGGAATCAAGTGGGCGGGGAGTACCGTTAGAGCCCCAGGGTTGGACTCCGTTAAGTGTGCAGAGGGCGACACTTGGGGCACTGTATAAACTGTCACTTAATCTCTCACCTCAACATAGAGATGTCAGACTCCTCGGGAAATTCAGACTGGGTGTATTTTGACAGAGGGCTTAAAGTAGGTAGAAAAAAGGGCGTGTTTTATTCTTTAACCATGAAAATTAGTTTTTATTTTATTTATTTATTTTTTTACCATTCTGGAAATTGAATGCAGGGATGCTCTCTCTACCAGTGAACCATATTTCCAGCCCTTTTATTTTGACCAGGGTCTGTCTCAGTTTCCCAGGCTGGGCTGCACCTCTCAGTTCTCCTGACTCAGATTCCCAAGTAGTTGAGATAGCTAGAGTGTGCCACCACACCTGGTTAGTTTATTTTAAAACAACAAATGACAAAACCTATTTCCTTTCTAAATCTTACTTTAATGAAGTCCTGGATAACCTTTCATAGGAAATGAATTTAAAATGTACATTCTTTTCTTTGGTACTGAGGATTGAACCCAGGGGTGCTTAACCTCTGAGCCACATCCCCAGCCCTTTTATATTTTATCTAGAGACAGGGTTTTGCTGAGTTGCTAAGGGCCTCACTAAGTTGCTGAGGCTGGCTTTGAACTTGTGATCCTTCTGTAACAGCCTCCTGAGCTGCTGGGATTAAAACGTGTATTCTAATTTTTAAGAGTTACATGTGAAAATTTAAGCCCTCTCCTGAGAATGACTTCCTCTGAACTGACTGTAAGAACAACACAGTTTTGAACTTGTTCATTTTCTAAATGCAAAGGCACAATAAAAATCCATCTGAAGACGGAGAAGACCTACTTACAGCATTAAACAGTTCAAAACGAAAATGCCACAAAACCTAGAGAGTAAGAGATGTCTAAAACTCAGGCATGAAAAATACATCAGCCGTCGCTCTAAGATGGCAGAAGTAAAACTCAGCAACGAGAAGACAGACACATGCTCTTGGTTAGGGGACAGAAAGCCTCAACCTCACAGGGATGCCAGTCTCCCCCAATTCATCTGTGCTCCTAACAGGACTCGTTCCTAAATAACATTAGGGGTCTTTCCTGAGGCCAAACTGCGTCCCAAGTTTACTAAGATAAAATAAGCAATAATATGTCCACACATACACATAGATAGATTGAAAATCCACTAAACTAAAACTAGAGGAGAGCCAAGAAGGAACCAGCCTTAATTCACAGTAAACACACTAGAGTCTACCACTTAAACCAAACGGGGCATGAATACCCAGCGGACAAAGAGCCACAAAGGAAGACAAGATAAGCCCCTGCATTCAGACCTAGCACATGACCACAGGCCATCCTGAGCCGGGGGCAGAGGGTGCTTGTGTCCTAGAGCACATTCAGGAGGGTGGCCACTCGTCCTGGAGAGCAGGGAGCTGGCCCTACGTGGCAACACCAATCCCAATGCCAGACCACAGGTTGAAAGCACGGTCAACCAGATCCCCTGAAGCCCTAAACTCTAAGACAAGTGGTGAGATACTTAGGGGACTTTAATTCCTAACTATATGTGAAATGATAAGAACTAGTGTCAATTTTGAGATGTAAGGACTATGTTTTTAGATATGCACTGAATGGAAGGGTCTATGGAGATAAAAGTTCTCCAATTTCTCTTTAAAAGTATTTAAATAACAAAAAAATTTAAAAAATAAACAAAATATTTTAAAAACTATACTTTTAACAAAATCTAATGCTCTTCATAAGTAGCAAATATCATTTTAAAGCTACATCAATAATCCTGTATATGCGTATTGAATTACATATTGTAACCCAAATAAGTACAGTGAAGAAAATTTCTTTGAATAATAAGGAATCACAGCTCTGCACCTTGAATTCTTAAAAAATGAACAATTTGAATTTCATTTTCTGAGACTGCATAGAATCTGGAAATTACTACACCAAGATGGAATTGAGAAGAGAGGAACACTGTTGGATATCACTGCAGAGAAAGCAACTTCCCACATGCTGTGATTCTCAAGGTGGAGTCCACAGAACCCCGTGGGGAAGAGGAGGAACTGAGACCCATTCAGGGCTCTGTTAGGTCCGAACCATTTTCTTAAAAATGTTCCGTGGCATTAACTTTTTCCTCTCATGCTCAGAAGAGTGCCCGTGTGTCATACGGAGGCTGCGTAACACCTGATGGCACTAGGTCTCTAACACTCAGTGGCCAACGTCATGTATTTTCAGAGGTTAACATGGTTACTCTCTTTTCCTCTTCTTGCTTTTGCTCTTTGGTTATACCTGATATATTAGCCAAAAAAAAAAAAAAAATCACTATTTTAAAAACCCGATATTTTCCTTTGTGTGTACATGGAAAGATAACAAAAAACAAGTATATTTAGTTAGTTTTTTTCAGCAGTAACTTTTTTTTTTTTTTTTTTGCTACTGGAGATCTAACTCAAGGGCATTTAACACTGAGGCATTTGTATTTTTTGAGACAGGGTCTTGCTAACTTGCTTGGGGCCTTGCTAAATTGCAGAGGCAGGTCTCGAATTCGCATTCCTCCTGCCTCAGCTTAGAGGTGTGCACCACTGTGCCCAGCTGTAGCTCTAGACTTAATACATAGTTCAGATTATTTTGGAATTCACCAATATTTTACTTAAAAACTAAACTTATTTATATTGTATCTTCTTAAGTTTAAGAATGGATTTCTGGCTTTAGAAAGGAGGGTTAAGCTTTGCTTTCTTGTTCCCAGCTCTTTCACCAGAAAGAGGTAACACAACACATGGGAGGGTCCTGTGATTCCCGGGGTGGAGGCCTCTATTCCAGAAAGTGGCTAGACCATAGATAAAGCCAACACGGGAGGAAGTGGTTTCTCATGTGGCTTTAGAGTCTGTAATTCACCTTCTTGGATTCATGGATTTCAACCAAGTCTAAATAAAAGGGAACCAAATGGGCTGGGGGTATGGCTCAGTGGCAGAGCGCTTGCCTAGCATGTATGAGGCACTGGGTTCGATCCTTAGCACCACATAAAAATAAATAAAATAAAGGTGTTCTGCCCATCTACAACTACAAGAAATTTAAAAAGAAAAAAAAAAAAAGGTGAAACCAAATGATCTCAAAGTATGTGCTAGATGTGAGCCATGAACATCCCGCCGACAGAACTGTGGCCTGCCTGACGCACAGCCTCACACCTGGCTGGCCTTGTCCAGTGGCTCACAGCGGCCGGTGTGCTCTGATGGGACAGAAGCAGCAGTGGTGACTGGTGACACTGGGAGCGCCCCCTGCATTCCTCAGCGCCCCGCCCTCCTGGGCAGAACTGACCTTTTAGACTGTCAACCTTGAGAGCACTTGTCAAAGTCCTGACAAAAGGAAAGCACACACAGGCTCTTCTGCTCGTGACCCAGGCACCCACACGGACTGCAGCGGCCTTTTCCCCCCTCATGGAAACATACTGAAGAACGACCAGCAGACGATGACCACTCACACTTGGGTCTTTGGCAGATACTTTCACAAAAACTAGCAAAGTGACTGGGTGACCTTAAGGAAAACTAATGACAAAATCTGTGGCTCATGATACGTTGGAGATTTTGAGCAGAAATTAGGATTTGGAAAATCTTGAAGACAACACGAGCTTGGCAGCTTTCCAACATGTAAAGGCATTTCTGATGACACTGGTGGTGACAGTAATGATTTTAAGTTTTCATGCTGCACAATGAATTATTTCTATGTTTGGAGAATCTGCGTAACCAGTCAATGAACCAAGACTTTCCAAATGAACCCTGTGCGACACACCAGTGGGTTTTCATTTAACGGCACACGAAAGGCTCACTGTATAACTGCAGATTCCACAGGGCCATCAATCTCTTAAAAAATGACCATTTTTCAAATTTTGGTGAAGCATCAAAGCAAAATATTCTACAATGTTCCCGCCTTTCCCACCACAAACCTGTGTGAGGCTGAATTTTCTTTAAATACTTCACCCAGGACAACGTGTCCCACCAGATGTAGACATGAGAAACTAGTTGTTACAAAAATGTGAAGACTGCCATTTCTGCCAAACAACTTTTGATTTAGAAAATATCATGATTTTTTCATAAAAATATGATATTTATGTTAACACATGGTCAATTTATTATTTTTTTAAATTAAGTTTTTGTGTTCTTTTTGTGGAACCTGGCATCAAATGCAGGGCCTTCTACCCGCATGCTAGGCAAGTGCTCTACCACCTACTACAGACTAGAAAATATTTTTAAAATGTTAATTTCAAATATGATATAGATAGATAGATTGACTGATAGATTGATCCATAGATAGAACCCATATTAAAAGGCTCTGTGGGATCATCAATAATTTTTAGGAGTGTAAAAAGAGTTCTGAGATCAAAATGCTTGCACAAGGCTGTTGTCTAGCATCCCCAATGCATGGGAGCATTCTAAGTAAAGGAAAAATGGAATGGACAGAAGGCTAAACGGACATTACTTACAGCAAAAAGGCCTCGTTGATGGCGTCAAAGAGCTCGGGCCAGAGGACCTCCTGAGGCGCTTGGCCATGGTAGGTGAGCAGGGCCTCCACCAGGGGTTGACAATCAGGCAGAGTAACAAGAGGGACACAGATGCGTGACAGGGACATCAAACGCTCAGGAGCCATCCTGTGGAAGAAGTAGAATAGGAAATACTCAAATCTGAGAGCCACAAATATTAGAAAGGGCTAAAACCCTGATGTGAAGAGATGGATGGCAGACCCCTGTGCTGGCCTAACAGGGAAGACCTCATAATCAGGACTCCAGGAAGGAGCCCTTGGGCTGCCATCCTGTTGCAGTGTCACCAAGACTTTACCTGGGACCACATCTACAGTCCCCTCCAGCTCACCAGGCTCCAAGGGGACCCCGAGTTCCTGTTCCAAGTGTCCTCCCCAACGCTGCCTCCGTGGACTGGCCCTGAACCCTCCCTCCATCCTGGTCCTGGCCAGATGACCACTGTGCCTGGCTACGCAGCTGTCTCCTGTCTCCCTGCTTCTGCCCTTCCTCCCACTGCTTATCATTAGAAGGTTCCAGCAGCTCTCCAAAACTTCAGACCATGTGACCGTCTGCTCCAGGCCTTGCAGCGGCCTGTCCCCACTCACATGGTGAACAAGTGAAGTCTCTTGCGGACCACACTGCTTCCTGAGACGGGCCCCCTTCTGTTCCATGGGCTCCACCTCCTTCCACTCTTCCCCAGGTCTAAAGCTGCTCTGAAGGCTGCGCCAGGCCCGCTGCTCAGCCTGCCTGTGAGCACAGCCAGCGCCCTCGCTGCTGGAAGGTCTAGATTCAGCACGGCCTTGGCAGTCTTCCCTGGCACGCCCTCTACGCACTGGCCATCATGTGTGGCAATCTGAATTGAAATTAAATAAAACAAAACATCCAGTGCCTCCAAGGTACTGGGCACCTTTCAAGTGCTCGCTGGGTACGTGAGGCCAGCGGATCCAGGATTGGACAGTGTAACTCACAGGCACAGATGAGACAGCAGACAGCACTGCTGCAGGTCCCTCTCACCCACAGAGGGGTGCTCCGCTAAGCTATATCCCAGCCCATTTTGTTTTTGAGACAGGGTCTTGCTAAGTTGTCCAGGCTGTCTTTGAACTTGGTTATCCTCCTGCCTCAGGTTCCCAAGTCACTGGGATTACAGGTATGCGTTACTGTACCCTGTAACCCTCGTTCCCTTTTATAACTAAGTTTTTACTCTTATCAAATTTAGAGATGCAACTCAATCGTCTGTCAAACATCTGTCAAATGGAGATTATGGAAAACAGGGGCATCTCGCTCCCTCATCTCTGGGTAACCACTTCCAACCTCACTCCTCACGTGTTCCATGCAAAGGCCCACCTCAAGGGGACAGCCACCAGATGACACAGAGAAAAGAACCCAGGATGCTGCCCCTGGGGACACACAGGCAGACACACACAGCCAATTTGGAGCATAATCGGCCCGGCCTGCCACCTCTCCTGATCAGTCACCAACTGTTTGTACAGGGCCGATTCCACCTTGCTGTGTGTCTGTACTGAAATGAATACACAGACTGATGGTTCTGTGTAGACCAGACTGCGACATGGCAGTTAAATGGGTGAACCAGACCTATATGACTCAAATACAAAAATCTCAAAAAATAATAATGAATGAAGAAAGCAAGCTGCAGAAAGATAAGCACAAGGCGACGTTACTCTTGCAAAGCCTTGAGATACCCCAAACAACACATCTAAGACGTCACAGTGTCCCCAACACGGCCGGAGGAGTCTCCACCCACTTCTGAGGCATGCCTACTCCTGGGGACGGGAAGGAAAAACAAGAAGGGGCAAAGACACTTTTGACTTTAATTGAAACATTTTATTTTCTTAAAAATATCAATTATACTTATTAATAAAATGTTCGCATTGTAAGATTTGGACAATGGGTACAACACAGATTTTCTGTATGTCAAAGTATCTCACAATTAAATGTTTAAAAACTAAAATACAAGGTTACCAGGTAAAATATGAAAATGAAAAGAGACAATTTGTAATAAAGGAGCTAATTCCTACCTCAGGTTCTTATCCCCAAAACAGCAAAGCAGTGTATGAAAACCTAATCATCTTTAATCAGCCTTAGATTGCTTAATATTTCCCCCCGTCTCTAGAGTACTTTTCCCCTTTATTTATATCTTTCTGAGTTCTTCCCACTATTTATTTGGTTATATTGGTCTCTAAAGAGAGTTATTTGTGCTTTTCATTTTATCAGTCAAATCAATGGAACAATTTCTCAGGTGTGTTCAAATGAAGAATCTGAGTACTTGGGGGTAAACATACTAAAGGCAAAAAATCAAAACATCTTACTAGTTAACAGGATATTGATCTGATCTACCCAGTAAAAGGAAACTGAGAGCATCATTGCTAAATCAATTGCGCCACATAAATTTAACCAAATATGAGTCCAACAAATCGCAAGGAACTGCCCCCCTGTGTGGTCTTGCACTCTGCGGTAGCTTGTTCCCACAAAGCTCCATGTTTGGGACATGTGCACCAAGAGGTGGCACAAAACAGAAGTGGGACTGTCATGGTTATTTCAAGCATGCCAGGAACCAGGAGGCGGGGTGTTCTTACACACAGCCCATGAACTGTGGCCTGTGCACTTGTTCACCTGATTTGGGTGAACAGCAGAATCAGACCCAACTCCAGATGCACTTCTGGAGGCTATCAGGATGACAGGATTAACTGCCAAACTCTTCAACGGGTTCCTCAACTGAACAACTGGTTCCTGTCGTGGGGATCAAACTGCAGAGAGAGAAACGTGGGTCTGACGTTCTATAGATACCAGCCACCAAGCAGTTATTGTTTTTTTGGAACTAGCAAGCACCTGTTCCAGGTCCAAACTCCCCTAACCCCTACTAGGACAGTGGGCTAGGCACTGCTGGCTGATACATTCCTGATGGCTGAAAAGTGTCCATTGGTGCCAGACTGCGCCTTATAATTATCTCTTTGTTGAAGATGCCTGCTTTTCAGAAGCACATGGACAAATTCCTTGGCAAGAAACTAGGTCCAGGGAAGGAGGTCTGTGCTGGCACCTCTGCCAGCCAACAGCAGCATGGGGAAATGGTGATTAGGTTATTCCCGGTGACTGCGAATCTGTGATGTAATCAGAATTCCTAACTGGATTTACTAAGACCAGGCTGAGTCTGTGCTAGCAGAACATCTCCCAACATGAATTTACCCTATGAATCAGCCTCCTTTTATCAGAGAAGACATTCAGCATTTGTGTTTTTTTTGGGGTTGGCTAACTTCACTTAGCTAACTTCACGTATTCTCCAACTCCATCCATTTACCTGCAAATGCCATGATTTTATTCTCTTTTATTGCTGAGTAATATTCTATTGGGTATACATACCACATTTTCTTTATCCATTCATCTACTGAAGGACACTTAGGTTGGTTCCACAGTTTTGCTACTGTGAATTGTGCTGCAATTGATGTGACTGTGACACTGAAGTATGCTGTTTTTAAGTCCTTTGGGTATAGACTGAGGAGAGGGATAGCTAGGTCAAAAGGTGGTTGCATTCCCAGTTTTCCAATGAATCTCCATACTGCTTTCCAGATTGGCTGCACCAACTTGCAGTCCAACCAGCAATGTATAAGCGTGCCTTTTCCCCCACATCCTCGCCAACACTTATTGTTGTTTGTATTCTCAATAGCTGATAGCTGCCATCTGACTGGAGTGAGATGAAATCTTAGTTTTGATTGGCATTTCTCTAATTGCTAAAGATGTTGAACATTTTTTTCATATATTTGTTGGTTGATGGTACATCACCTTCTGAGATGTGTCTGTTCATTTCCATGGGCCATTTATTGATTGGGTTATTTGTTTTGGGGGGGGCCTAGCTTTTTGAGTTCTTTATATACCCTAGAGATTAGTGTTCTATCTTATGTGCAAGTGGTAAAGATTTGCTCCCAAGATATAGGCTCTCTATTCACCTTACTGATTGTTTCTTTTGCTGAGAAGAAACTTTTAGTTTGAAACCATCCCATTTATTAATTCTTGATTTTAATTCTTCCACTATAAGAGTCTTATTAAGGAAATTGGGGCCTAATTCAATATGATAGAGATTTGGGCCTACTTTTTCTTCTATTAGACCCAAGGTCTCTAGTTTAATTCATAGGTTCTTGATCTACTTTGAGTTGAGATTTGTGCCTGGTGAGAGATAGGGGTTTAATTTCATTTTGTTGCACATGGATTCCCAGTTTTCCCAGCACCATTTGTTGAAGAGGCTATCTTTTCTCAAAGTTATGCTTTAGGTGCCTTTGTCTAATTAATAAAACTGTAATTATGTGGGTTAGTCTCTGTGTCCTCTATTCTGTACCATTGGTCTACTTGTCTATTTTGGTGCCAATATCATGCTGTTTTTGTTACTATTGCTCTGTAGTATGGTTTAAGGTCTGACATAGCGATACCATCTGCTTCACTCTTCCTGCTGATTGCTTTAGCTATTCCGGGTCTCTTATTTTTGCAGATGAATTTCATGACTGCTTTTTCTATTTCTATGAGGTATGTCATTGGGATTTTGATTAGAATTGCATTAAATCTGTATAGTGTTTTTGGGAGTACGGTCATTTTGACAATATTAATTCTGCCTATCCAAGAATAAAGGAGATCTTTCCATCTTCTAAAATCTTCTTCAATTTCTTTCTTTCGGGTTCTGTAGTTTTTGTTGTAGAGGTCTTTCACCTCTTTTGTTAGGTTGATTCCCAAGTATTTAAAAAAATCTTTTTGAGGCTACTGTAAATGGGGGTAGTTTTCCTCATTTCTTTTTCAGAGGATTTGTCACTGATGTACAGAAATACCTTTGATTTATGAGTGTTGATTTTGTATCCTGCTGTTTTGCTGAATTCATTTATGAGTTCTAGAAGTTTTCTGGTGAAATTTTTGGGTCTTCTAGGTACTGAATCATATTGTTGGCAAATAGTGCTAATTTGCGTTCTTCTTTTCCTATCTGTA